TCTTGAGAATAAGAAAGGCATATTAGTATTTAGCTATCTAAGTTATTAATTAATTCTTTTATTTTCGTAATTTTATATCTATTTCCTTAAGTAAATTACTTAGAGAAATAATAATAGTAATAAAATTACGTATAAATCTCCGGTAATAAGAGACTAACCCCAAAAATTGTCTGACTTTATAAACATTTATAAATACTAGCTATTTTTCTACTAGCTTTATTTTTAATTAGGAAATCTTAATAATTTTATTTCCTATAATATATTTATAAAATTCTATTTCTAAAATACTAATTATATACTTACTAGGCTTAGTAAAGAGCTTATTCTTTTCTAGCTTACTTAGAACTTAATTTAAGTAATTCTAATATTTCTTAATTAAATTAGAAAAAACCAGAATATTATTAAGAAATATAATAATAAAGTAATTAAGAAAAAATTAAAAAATAATATTTATTAGTATTTAGAAAATAGCCAAAGTATTTATAAGTCCTATTAGTATTACTAGGTATTTAAACTTGCTAATTTATATATTAAAAGCTATATATAAGATACTAGACTTAGTATTAAGAACCTAGTAAAATCCAGAAAGTAAATTAAACTTGGAAATAAACTTAAACTTAGAATTCCTAATTTAATTAAGATAATCCTGAATTCTGGGCAAGGGATAAGTATTCTTCTTTATAATCATATTTAAGTCCCGGTAATTAATATATATATACTAAGTAATATCTGACCTTTTTATAAAAAGAATAGGTATTTCCTAAGAACTATTACTTATTTAGATTAACCTCTTCTTAAGTATTATAGTAATTTGCTTGGTTTATTTCTCTAGCTAAGATTAAGAAAGGAAATAAGCTACTAAATTAACTAGCTAGGTATCTCTAGTATTAATTAAGTATTAGATTACTTTACTAAATAATAAGTAATCTAGTAAGTCTAAATAAAAGGCCTTTATATATTTCCGGATAACTTCCTTAAAAAGAGCAGGAATATCCTTAAGTAAATTATTTAGGCTTATTTAATTTTCTAAAATCTGGGGCCAAATAAAAAACAAATTCATAATAAAGCTTTAGGTTTTTCTAGCTATTTTATAAATACTTTTAGTTATAATAAGGTTAAGCTTTATAACTTGGGCTAGTTAATAGTAATCCTAATTAGCTATAAGTAAGTAAGTTCTCTTAAAATCTCGGATCTAAATAGTTAAATAGAGTTAATTAATATAGGAATTAAAGACTTATAACTAGGGTATTTCAAGTATAATATTATATTCGTATAGTAAGTCTATAGTTATAGCTTATATAGAAAGGTAATAGTATCTAATTTGGCCGAGAATAGTAGTAGTAGCTAGTACTTCTTTTATCTTTTTATTTATAAACTCAATTATAATAAGAGAAGAAAAAAAAATAGGTTAATTTTATTAATTTATAAATAAAGTATTAGCCTAATTATATATAAATCTACTATTAAGTAAATACTTGAAAGTAGTTTTTTATTAGTTATAGGTAGTAAATATAAGTAAATTATTTCTAGTAATATTAAAAGAAAATAGTTTCTTAAAGAATTTATATAAGAAAAAGTTTTTAAGCTTTAGCTAAGAATAAACCTTAGTTATAACTAAAAGAGCCTTGGTTTCGCATAATATAAGCGGCTCTAGAGTATTTTTATACGCTTATTAATTAGCCCGTACTAAATTATTTTCTAATTAAGCTAATACTAGAAATAATTCTAGTTTCCCGAATAAGAAGCTTTCTTAGGTAATTATAAGGTCTTAGAGGCTAATTACGAGGTCTTAAAATAAGAGGAAAAGTAATAGTCTTTACTTCCGTATATAAAGCAGGCTTAATTTACTAAGTACTAAGTCTTAAAAAGCTTAGGGCTCTTTTTCTTATTAGGTATAAAGAAAGTAATATAATTGAGTTATTTAAGTTCTTTATCTAGCCTTGGCTAAGAAAAAGAAGGTTTGAGATAAGAAGTAGGGCGAAATCTTATATGAGATAAGCTATTCTTTACTCTAGCTTTCTTAAATACTCAGTTAATAAAGTCCGCTAGTATCTAGTATTTTACTAGGCTATTAATATTTAAATAATAAGTAAATATCTCAAATTTAATCTTCTTATTAAGCCCTTTCTTAAATTAGTAAAAAATCTTATAATTAGATAATTAAGGATTAAGGTATATAAGGCAATTCTTAAATACCGTAATATAGCCTTAAATAGAACTAGTTTACTAAACTTTCTTATAGTATTATTATCTTTTATTCTCTATATTAAGCTCCTGAAATTCCGTATAAATAATAGTAAAAAAACTAGTAATAGTAAAGAGAATAGGATTACTCAAAAGAATAGTACTTTTCTTTAATTATATTTATTACTTTAAGGCTTTTTCTTTAAGTATATCCGAGAAAAGGGCTAATACTTATTTTTTGGAAATCTTAGCTCGAGTAAGGGTTTAATATTTATTAAGTTATAAGTAGGCTTCTATAGTTTAAAAATAGGCTATATTATTTATTTAATCTTTATTATACTTAGAATAATCTCTAATTCTTATTCTAAAATAAAATATATATTTGACTATAGCTTTTCCGGACTTTATAGAGGCTTTAGGAAGATTTCTAGGCCCAGAGGTTAAGGGAGTAGATACTTCTTTAGTAGTAGTAGTATTATCTAATTTAGAGATAGCTAGGGTAATTAAAGTTTAAGAATAAGCGTTTATAGCCTGGATTAAAGAAATAAGCTTTGCTTAAACTTGGGTAATAAGATTATTAATAGCTATATTAGTATTTTCTTATATATTATTTAGAACTCGGGCAAGTTCTCAGATATATTTCTGTAAGTTAGCTATAGCTAAGAAAAGATCTCTAAATAAGCTAGAAATATAAACTATATAATTATTAAGTATATTAATAATACTAAGAAAACTAGTTATATAATCTCGTAAAGCGGCCAAATCTCTATTAATAATAGCTTAGTAAGTAACTAAGCTAGAAACCTACTAGGCTATCTTATTTATATAAGATAAATACTCTTATAAGTTTCTAATAAGGTATTAAAATAGTTATATAGTATTACTCAGGGACTTTTCTTTAGTAGGGTAATTTATATCTTAACTAGCTCCTATTATAGTAAGATTAGGTCTTTTATTAAAAGATATAGTAACTCGGGTATAAAGAAATAAGTAATTTAAGAAGAGAAATAACTAGAGTTTATTAGTCGAGATCTGGATAGATTTCCCTTTTTATTTTCCTTTTTATAGGTCCCTAATTCGGTCGAGTATAGAAAGCTTATAAGTTTAAGCCGAGAACTAGTTAGGTTCTCTGTAACTCGATTTCTGAAATAGAGGTTTATAACTCCTCTATTCCGGTAGTATCCTTATACGGGGTTTTAGTAGGTTTAGTTAATTTCTAGACTCTTCTTCTCCTTATTTGAGGCCTAATATTAGGATAATAGATTTCTCTACTTTATCTTAGTAGTCTTGGATAGGCCCAGGCTCGGCCTTATTCTACTAAGCTTTCTGCTCTATTCGGGTAGTAGAATTTCTCCAGGATTATTACTATAGAGTCTTAATTAGCCTATCTAGTAAACTCGTTTAATAGAGTTACTAATCTTTTCTAATATTTAGCTATTACTAGGAATATAAAAACTCGCCCGGCAAGTTCCTACTTTTCCCGAGATTAGCTTATATTAGGAGAGGTAGGCCCGGAGAATAGAAGCTAGTTTATAGTTAGTATATTTAATAGTCAGATGCCTCTGCTATATAAGTCAAATAAGTAGAAGAACCTTAACGAGATTGGCCGAGATTTTCACTTCTCATAGCTTGACCTATAGGGAGGGAATTACTTGTCCGACCCTCAAATGACTTTTCCAGAGAGGTAGTTATTAGAGTATATCCTTGTTTTATTATAATAGGTGCTCTAATTTCGGGGATAGCTTGCTCTAAAGCGAGGGGCGGCTATAGGGAGCATATTAATAATACTTGTTTAATATATCTCTCTGGAAACTCCGGAATAGAATTCTAGTATAAGGCCTCAGATAAAACTGAGCCCTTTTAAGGCATTACTACTATATGTGATTGGAAAGGTTAAAAAGGACGTAACGTTTCCATTCCTGCACGTTTGGGCCCTTTAATAGGCTCGAACGAGCTTACGTGATTCCACGTGGAATTAGATTACGTACAAAAGCATGATCAGAAATCACAGTAACAGCGACCCCACGTCACATGTCACCCTCCATCCCACCCTTTCCCGCTTCCCAACAATAACCCGAATAGATGAACGGGGCCGGCGTGCAGAATCAATTAATTTCTTCATCCTTGAGAAAGACGGCGAAGTCATTCTGATAAAGTGTGAAGACGTACCAGTCCCTACGGGCAAGATTCGGACCTCGGGGGGATGGATGGATTAGTCGTGGCCTCACAGTAATTCATCAATCATCAGGTTGCATCTCGCTGACTCGCAGCTGCTGGCTGACGCCTGACGGTGACATACAGTGATAGTGAGTGAGTGAGTGAGTGAGTGAGTGAGTGAGTGAGCAGTCAGTGCCTTGATCCGGCATCTGCGTCGTCCTATTTCGTATCCTCGGCGCAATAATTAATTAATGCTCACCTAATCACGAAATCGAGATGTCGAGGTTTTGGTCACCACGCATGTGCAAAGGATACGTCGATGGTCAGGTGTTACCACCCTCCCATCCCATCCGAGCTCACCAGACAAGAACGGGGTACGACGTAGTTATCGTCCTCAATGCGGTCGCATATGGGATCATGCTCTTGCTCATACTTCCACGAGGTCCGGACGTGGCTTCTGGCTGCCTCAACGAGGTCCAGCTGTGGCTTTTGCGATCCAGATGCAGCGAATGGCATGATCGTGGGGTCCTCCCCCTCCCAACGGGCCAGCCAGCCCATCCCCATCCCCATCTCCGATCGTTCCCAGCGCCCGGCATCCGCTCCCCAATACCGCTGCTGCCGCTTTCACCGACTCGACTCAGCGCACCCAAATCCGAGCTGACATGGTTGACAGCCATGGGCGCTCCGAGCCTGGACTGGGAATGTGATCTACACCCTTTCCGCATCAAGTCATCAGGAACAACAGATCATGACAGCGCGGTGGTGGGCTGGCCGTGATGCAACCATTACGGCGGGACCGCCTTTCGTCCCTTACTCGCATCTCAGCTGTACGGTAATCAATGTCCGAGAATCAGGATGCGCCTTTTTGCCGCATCTGCTTTGTAGGTGAGAGATATAAATAAAGGCAGTGTGTGCCACCCGCGGAACAGGATTTAATGAATGAATCGCGATCAAAGCTAAAGCGAAAGCGAAAGTCGCAAACGTCACACCAACGAAACGGAACCGGAAGGTCGAGCACGAACATCCCAACACACAACACACAACACACAAAACACGTCCGCACGGCAGACCCCGACCCAAGACCAACAAAACAAGGCTGAGCTGTCGGTGTCTGACTTATTACTTGGCTCGCTCCCGCCTCGCCTCGCCGCACGTCACCGACTTACTTACCTCGTTCTCCCGACCGACCTTATAATCCCGACTACGTCCTTTCCATCCAAACTCCTACCTCTGGTCTGATCTGATCTACATTATTTAAACACCCTCCCGTCTCCATCCTCACTCAAATAAATACTCAAATCCAAAACACTTCCATCACTTATCATTCGTCACACCCAAGCGAAAGAAAACATGGCCTCTCAAAACTCAGACAAACAGTACTACCTCATCACCGGCGTCCGCACTTCCTCCAACTCCTCCTCCTCCTCCTCTTCCAAGGAGGAACGAGAAGTCGACTTGCACGCGCAGTCCTGGAAACTGCCTTATAGTATCGACGATAAGGATCTGATGTTTGATGGCAAGCCGTTGAATTTGCTGTATGAGGAGAACAGATACGCGGTGGAGCACAGGCAGGGATCACGTGAGCATGTGAGTTTGCCCCTTTCCATTTTGGCCGAGTCTCTAAGGAATGAATGAATGCTGACAATATGACAGAGAGGACGAAGTCGGCAGAAGAAGTGAGAGGGATTGCATGTGAAAGGGATTTGGATTGGGTTATTTCTCCGGGTTGGGCATCACGTCGAGGTCACCAGACTGTCGTGTCACATGCGTGCATCACGACCACGACCACCAGCAACAAGAGAATATGAGAGATATTTGCTGGACCTACGGGAGTCGAGCGGCCACGTCGCCAATTGCCAACGGTCGAAGGGAGTTGAGAAAGTCAAGGAAGGGATCAGCGGTTCCACGCGGGAGGCATCAGGCGGCAAAAGACGAACAGAATGTTCAAGAGAAAGATTGGGACAGCAGCTGCAGAGCGTAGTACTCGGCTACACCAGAAAGGAGTCGCGTTAGAAGGACGAACTACAGAGACACGGGCCTGGGCAGTGGAGTCTGAAGGTTCGGGGATTTATGATTTTATGGGAACGGGTGGTTGGGATTTTGAGGACTCAAGGTTGGCGCATCGCGTTTGCTGCATTTTCAACCTGCCTAGCTACAGTACCTTCGCTCCACCAAGAAATATATCGCATTAACAACCCCTTCTGCTTGTGCTTCCAATCGTGATTCCTTCCTTCCTTCCCACACACTCATATGACAACCCCGCCCCTTACAAGCGAAAACAATCACAGAAACAGGATTCCTTCACTATCGGATTTACGAAATGCCATCATTCATCTGCACAGGAAAAAGTAGAATAGATACGCCTTTCGCCACCACAGTGGTGTCACTTTGTCACTCCACTGCTGACCAAGCCAGCATGTAGATCGCCCCGGAATTCCGGATGGGGCGAACCCGCTGGCTTAGCGGACATAGATCCGGTCCGGGATCGACGGTTATTGCGGGGTACTTCCCTGGTGCTCGCTTGAAGAGGGAATTGCTTTGTAGAGCCCGGGACGCCGGTTTTACATGGAATAGGACCTGTTTCTTGTTGGAGGTTTTACGAGGACCGAGGCGACGGGATATTTGGAGAGAAGAGAGGAGAGGAATGTGATTGTACTGTACAGTTCGCAGGTAGGCGGTACATTTGGAATTAGACTCAGTTGCTTTTACGCTCAATTCATCACTCATCCTCCATCTCCATGCTAATGTACATACACATCTCTGCTCCTTCTCCTACTTCAATCGTCCTTCAACAGCCTTCCAATTAATCACATCCCAAACCGCAGTAAAGTACTCCGCCTTGCGATTCTGGTACTGCAAATAATACGCATGCTCCCACGCATCAATGCCTAACAACGGCGTGAACTTGCCTACGACAGGGTCCTGGTTGGCATATGTGCGGATCAGGACTTGGCCGGTCTCGTTGTCCTTTACGAGCCAGGCCCAGCCGCTGCCCTGGATACCGGCGAGCGCGGCGTTGAACTTGGTCTTGAAGGAGGCGAAGTCTTTGTAGGAGGTTTCAATTGCTGTCTATTTCCCAGTCTCATCAGCCTCTGTACCATTCCAATGTAATGCAATTCAATGTTTGTGGGGAAATGGGAGGAAAGGAAGAAACAGACCTTCAACTTCCCCTCTGGCTCTCCACCACCACCCTTTTTGCTCGGCGCCAGGTTCTCCCAAAACAACGTATGATTAAGGTGTCCACCACCGTGAAAGTTGATCATCGGTTGCAGGGCGATGATGCTCTGGATATCTTGCTTGGATTCGGCGGCCGCCAGCTGTTCCGAGGCGGTGTTGTAGCTGTTGACGTAGGTTTGGTGGTGCATCTTGTGGTGCAGCTCCATGATCTTGCCGGAGATGGAGGGCTCGAGTGCGCCGTAGTCATCTGGCATCCATCAATCAGCAACGGAAAGGACATTGAATGAGAATGCGAAGGGGGCGCAGACATGGCAAGTCAGGAAGCGTGGCTTTGCCCCGGACGAAGCTTGTGCTTGCTACAGAGGCAGCTCTCTTTGCAGCTCCGGCTCTGAGCGCCGAGCGACCTACCGCTGACGAGCGGAAGAGTGTTGCGGACATGATTGCTGGTTCAATTGATGGCTTTTGATAAAGCTTCAATTAAAGTGTCGTGTTGGAGATGGTGCAATGGAGGGGAGTTGGAGTTGGAGCCCCAAAACAAGGTTTAACGTCACTGCCGGAAGCGAAAGCGCAGGGATCAGCAAGCCGAGCCGAAACCTCCCACTTCGCGTCTTCAACATCGCGTCTTCACCACAACTACAACAATCAATTGATGCCGCCCAACACCCTCTATACACGACGATAGCATCACGGTAATCCAACCCCTCAGGATGTCCTACTACGATATAGACGCCATCCTAACGGATAACCAAGTATCTCCTCCCCTCCCCTCCTCCTCCAATTCTAACAAGAAACAGAAAGTCCCCTGCACATTCAACCTCACCCTCCCCCACCTCGGGTATCTCGACTCCGCCCCAGGGCGCCCCCTCCCCTCTGGCACAAAAGTCGACCTCCCCCTCTGGCTCGCAGAGCGCCTCGCCGTCTCCCAACTAACGCCCCAAACCTCCCTCATAACCCTCGACCTGCCCCCCTCACTGTCACCCCGCGTGATGAACGCCCTGAAAGCCGACCCGAAGTCCGTCGATCTGAGAAGTCTAGCAGCGAACTTTTACGGTCTGGCGGAAAGGATACTGGACTTGTTTGAGGAGGAGGAGGTGTGTGATGTGCTGCTTGAGAGTTGGAGGGTTAGGGCCAGCGAGGTTGGGGATCACGCTGTGAGTACGAGCGGGGGGAGGAGAGGGGGTTGAGTTTTTGAGGGGGCTGAGTGAGGAGGAGAGGGTGCTGTTTCGGAGTGCGCATGATAGTAGTAAGGCGATGAGGGTTTGGATGGGGGAGATGAAGAAGAGATAGGAGGATGTGGGAGGGTGTGTCAAGTGGAGAAAGAGGTTGGGTGGGCTTGGAATGGCTGCATTATACCTGGCGTTGGAATGGCATGGTGTCTGGAAATGGATGATGAATGGCACACTGGACAGGAGTTCTCGCAGTTGCGTCTGCAACTCGTTATTTTGTGGCTTGGAGAGAACGATCGATCAGCAACGCTTAGTCTGATTCTAACATGGCGAGCCCGGCGATATGCAAAAATCGCTCTCGATGCAGCCAATGATGGGGAATTATCCTGCTCACCCCGTTCATTTGTCTTGTTGATGTTATCGAATTCCCCAGAGATCTAAAAGCCAGTGCTCACTACTCACTTCTCTCTAAGATCCCAAGCCACCATCCCCAATTGCGGCTTCACACAAGTTACCAACACCTCGCCCAAATCCGTTATCCCAGGAATCAAGTGAATCCTTCCCACCCTCAATAGTTTTTGCTGCACATCGAATCTGAAGTGAAGTCGGCCTAGTACATGGAGATTGTCCTGGAAGTCCGGAGTGAATCTGAAATCTGTTTCCTATGCCCGTCTGAACGCGGGAGGGCAGACCGAAGCCCATGCATTGGAGAGAAGTCAGCCAATGAATATTGGGGCGGATAGAGAGAGTAGTTTAAGCGAGCGAAAGAGACTGGCGCGGCCCTAGTACATATGCTGGCTAGCCTGGAAGACAAGAGGTGGGAGGTGGATATTAGAACTTGTTCGTTTATGACATGTCGGTCAAGCATGTCTTGTCTCCTGACTCGAGCGAGTCTCCTCCACTGCCTACAAATCCCGCTGAGATTATTACCAATATTCGATATTTTTGGTGGTGGCTCTGTGATAAACTGAATTGGGACAGCTGGTGTGAGGAGTCTTCGTGCGGTATTAAGGCGGAGAAAGTGCCGGCTGCGAGAGTTCAAAAGGGGGAAACGGTCTTGATATCGATCTGAACCTACACAATTCAATCTGCGACCCGTTGGCGTACCATCATCCCATCGTATTCTGAGGTTTAATTTCCCGGAAGGTGGTCCCATTTGGTTGTATAACTGCGAGTTACTTTAACATTTCAATTGTTTGAGAGAGCTATGGAAGGATGAATTCATTCCCGATGTTTTAGTTTAGCTAATACATGTTTTGGACAAGTCCCTGACGTTGCCAAGCGATACCAACCACGGCTAGTGCCAGAGTACCGATGGGTTCGACAAAGCGCAGCGTCTTCTCTTTTCGCGCGTAAACATCATTTCTAGCAAATAGATCTAGCCTGATCGCTGTCGTGGTTGGCTTCCATACGCCCTCCTTCTGGCTGGCTGCTTGCTCTTAGCCATGCGAGCACCTAAAACAATGTCTACTTTTGGTGGCACGCTAAATCCAAAGCTTTTCCCAACGGCGGCAAGGTCAAGCTTCTGAACATCGAAAACGCTCCTTAAGCTATGCGCCGCATACGCAGCGAGGTAGCTTCGGAACCCCTCTTTGGCGGTGCGATTCAGGTAGTAGTTGGATGCGATTAACTTCTCTAGCTGAGCTTGGATGTTAATGAGCTTCGGAATGTTGTACTCGACAAGCGGAACCCGCGCATTCGTCAAATATTGCACGAACCCCACTTCCGACGGATGAAGGACAAGGACAGACTTCCCCTTCCCATTGGTCCCTCGTGCGGTGCGGCCAACGCGATGGATATAGTTACGCGGCTCATCAGGCGCATCGAATTGAATTATCCAGTCAACAGCCGGGATCTAAATCAAGATTAGACGAAACACACCTTAATTCTGATCATCATAACTTACATCAAGTCCACGAGCAGCAACGTCAGTACATATAAGGACACCCTCTGCAGCGTTTACAAAGCTGAAGAAATTGGCCGTCCGTCGTTGTTGCTTCTGTTGACCATGCAAAGCCAAGACCGGAAGGTCGATATAATTGAGCAGTTCCTCGTAGTACTTGACGCAATTGCAGCTTGAAACGAAGACGATAATCTTCTTTTTCTTCGCTAGATGTTTTTTCAAGAAGGTAAACAGAAGCCGGAACCGCAAATCAGACGGGCAGACAATATAGCCTTGCTCTAAACCCTCGACCGTGCTGTGTTCCATCGCTTCTTCGACGTTGATGTATAAAGGGCCAGGTCGGAGGGACACGCGTGCGAGGTCTTCAACTTTTGTGGTTTGCGTAGCAGAGAAGAGGGCGGTTTGCCTAGAATCAGGAAGGATTTTCACAATTGCCCTCATTTCATCCTCGAAGCCTGCATCTAGGATTCGATCCGCCTCGTCAATTACAAGAGTCCTAAGATTCTTGTAGACAAATCCCTTTGTATTTTGAAGATGATCGAGTAGGCGACCAGGTGTAGCAATAAGCAGGTTCAGGCCAGTTGTGAGCTTGGTCGCTTCCGCAGATCTGTTTGCTCCGCCCATGACGATACCACATGTCTGGAGAACGTTAGTATGCCAACGGCAACCATGGGCCCCGCGAGCGAAGAAGTCATACCTGCGAGTGATGTGCCATAAGTTCTCTTGCAACACCAAACATCTGCAAAGCTAGCTCTCTGGTCGGTGACACAATGAGAACGCCAGTGCCATTCCTCGTCTTGAAGCGCAACGAGTGTAGAAGCTCTACGGCTGGTATCAGAAACGCCAGTGTTTTCCCTGAGCCCGTTTTGGCAGCACCAAGAACATCGCGTCCTGCGAGGATGGGTGGTATAGCTTTGCGCTGAATCGGGGTCAGCTCCGTGAAACCCATGGCATCGATTGCTTGAGCCGTCTTCGAAGAAAGTTTGAGTTCTGCGAATGTGACAGGGTCTGTCGCAAATGTCGAGGGGGGTAAGTGGAGATTGGCGAGCTCTTCGCCTCCGTCGGTACCAAGCAGAGGGGGAGAGGGCATAGGTGACGGGTCGCCAGTTGTAAGGGTCTTCGATTTCGCTCCTCGGCCTCCTCCTCCTCCTTCCTCTTCTTCTTCATTTCCCCGCTTGCGTTTGTGAGACATGGTTGCTTCTTTGGAGGGTTTGGGAAACTGGTTGTCGGCTGCGGTGATTGTGGTGGTCGGAGGATTCGAACAAAACCGAAAATCTTGACTGTTCGCTTCTCCACAAATGGCTAGGTCTAATATGGCCTAGATCCCTTCCTCAAGCAATAAGGTAGGAGAAACTTGATCACCTGGTCACGTGAGGAACACCAAAACCCTGACCCCCACATCAGGCGAGCTTGTGGCTGCGAGGACCTCGTCACTTGTCAGTAAATCAATTAATGACCTCCAATGCAATGAATTCTTCTCCCTTAGCTCAGAACATAAGGCCCACCTATCTAACTCGGAAATCTCCTCTCTCTATAACGAGGAGTGTGGGGATGAGGATTGTCAGGGAGTCAGGGACTAGATGACATATTGTGATGGTGATGATGAAGCCGACCGTGAGGATGGAGAGGCTGCTGGTTCTTCTTTACCAAACGCATTCGATTGTTTACGCGTAAGTGACCGTCGTAACTTCAACGGCCTTAAACTTCTCAACTAATAATCGACTATCATAAAGTGCCACTTACACACCAGACGATTTCGAAATCCCGTCGACTAGTAATGCAAAGATAGGTGCCCTACAATAAGACTGAGAACCGAAACAGACGAACATCTTTCCATACTTCGGGAAATGCTGAGAAGTATTAATAGTTAAAAACGATCATTCAACGGAACTAGCCCGATCTTCAACAAATTTGTATCCTCAGTGGACAGAGAGAAATTGAGAGACGCATACTTGACGCAATTGATTCGGATCTCCACAACATTGTTCTCGATACCGGTTGTTTTAGCCCTGAAACGCTAAAAAGGCTTAATACTGAAAAGGCAATACGGTACAACTTTTCCGGGGTTTATCTTCACGCACGTTCATCCAGATAACGGAAACATCCGCACTATAAAAATTCTTCAGATGCTACTTCGCGGGAAGAAACGTACCTGATAGTATTGCTTGCCAATTATAGCTGGCGTCGACGGCCATCCCAAACAGCATTTCTTGGAAGGGCTCTTGATAGAACTTACTCTCGTCTATGGCAAGTACCGGCGGTTTGGAGTCTTCAAACTAGTGCATCCTATCTCGAAGTTACTCAAGTATGTATACAGTACCTTGATGCCGGCGCCGAGAAGTCGGATTGGAACATAGCGACGATGGCAAAAGCAGTTACAAGTATACTATTATACTCATCTAAGACACATAGGAAGGAGGTGAAGAACTTCACATGAGACATCATCTTAATAAAAGGAGGTTTTGGGGGTGCTTGGGTATGAGGAATAAAACCTGGGATATGAGAGACGAGTCTTCGATGCTATTTCGCTTTTTGTCGAATCAAAACATGATACGTCAGGACTCTATATGATTAACTTATAATAGACCTGTATCTAAACACTTTGTTTCCTCCTCGGGATCAACAGCACTCTAAGAACGGAACGGAACAGATGCTCTCAGGTCACGTGTCTAGCCAGACTCCTTCTGAAACCTCCATTGATATAAGCTATCGGCTTTTCCCGAGGTTACTTGAGAGAGAATCTATCTGTTCGTCTGAACTTCAACTTTCAAAAGGAAGTTAAAGGTTTCCATATAGTGAAGTGTTCACATCGAGAGGCCAAGGTCCACCTCGAGCTCTACCCCATCCATGACAATACCATTGCTATCTTTTTACATCCTCTGTTTGAGAAAATTTTAAAGTTTCTCATGCCATGAGGACGAATCGGACTTTCATCTTCTGCATCAAAGTTATTTCATTGGTTGTTTATTCTAGAGAATATGAAATTCACCCGTAAGAATTTGATTTGTACCGAGAAAAAATTGGTACATTAAGGTGGACTAAATTAAAATGGATAATCAATTAAGCGTTAGCTAGCATGAAAGTTCGAAGAATGGAAGAGGTAAGGAAAGGCTAAAACATTCTGGAATCGTGTTTGCATTGTCAGCTACAGTTCTTGCCAGGCTAGTGACAGGACAGAGAAGGACATGCAATGTGCTCGACGATGAGGGCATACCGCCAGCATTTGATTCGTGCCCCTCTTCACCATCATTCCCCTCGCTATTCCGTTTCTTCCTGTCTTTTCCCCAGCCATATTTATCATTTCGCTGGTGTCGAGAATGTATGAGACGTGGCGGTGATCGTAGTTCAACGGAGGCAAGAACACTCTGCCCTGAGCATCACCGTTGCCAACGCCTTGAATACTCTTCCCCGCACCGAGACACCTGAAAATAAAGAGAGACATTTCATTCTATTCAACAAACTGGTAACTGAGATTCGACTACGCATATGGCAATATTTATTTCCTTCTAGGCTCTAGCAAAGTTATCAACATTCGTGCCGATCTCTTTCGAACTGGGTATAACATCTTCATGTGATAATCCAGTGACTTTTTTCATCAACGAGGAGAGTTACTCCGAGGCCTGTGATATTGCCAAGCTCTATTCAGTAGTGTTAACGATTCAGTCTGTATCTGTCACCAAATCCCAGCTCTCCAACATCGCTCTATCTCGATTCCCTCTAGCGCGCTCTGCAATGGAACGAGGATAAGGTCTGTGGGATGAAGGGCGCATCTTTGGCTTCCTCGCCTGGAACATCACGTCGAGAGATGTCTCTGCATTAACCATCGACGAACTACCGAGAAAACAGGAAATGGTGCGGAGATGCGAGCAATTGACGAAGCTGAGCTAGCAATATGAGCTTGAAATATTGGAAGAGATAGAGCAATGACTGCAGTCCACTGCTGAGCTGATTTTCACGGAAAAGGGTTTCCTTGGAATCGTTTCTGCGGGAGTGGTGAAAGAGAATATGGTGATTGTACTACTTGGTGGGGCTAGAGTTGAGTTTGCTGCGGGGGGAAACAAGGAGATGGAGGACTTGGTACGATTACGTGGATGATGTATTCCTTGATCATATGCTTCGATTGTTAGTTCAAAGGATTTGGTATTACTTAATGTGATTGATTTGGCAGTGATTAAAAGGAATACGCAAATGAAATATGCACAAGTCCGTGAAGATCCAGAAGTTCAGGGCTTGACAAGTGGCGCGTTTCTTGAGTTAGTGGACAGCAACTGCTGAAATGGCGATTAGTGTTTCTGAGGCTCTGAGCACAACAGCATCCCAAACCAATTGACAAATCTTCGAAAGAGTTAAACAGAAAGGAACGGCCTCCTTGACTAGTCACAATAATGCGAACCTGAAAGTCCGGACCATAAGCCATCCGAGTTTGCTCGAGAGCCAGTTATATTTGCAATTATAAGAATAGTTCGAAACCCAACACCTTACAACTCAAAGGGAAGGGAACCCAGAGCAGATCAAATTTTAAGCCTGTGTACTCCTTAACTGGAAAGAAAAACCCCGTTTCCTTAGTGACGTTACATTCAGGGGGCATTCTCACGTGATATACTTTAATCGAGCAATGTTTCTATTCTAAGAACAAATCAGCGCTTTAATCGGAGAAAATGGAGCAGGGGGTATTCAAACTTAATCTATTAGATTAGATTTTCCGGACTTCTTTCCGGCTTCGACAATGCTGGCCAAAACATGCGCGAACACCTCCCGCCAACGCCTCCCACCCGCTCTCTGGAAGCCTCCCACGGCATCCGTCCACTCCGCAAAACTCCCTGCGCCCTCTCTACAAATCCAGAAGAAATCAGCGCACTACTGTCATCACAGGCCAATGAAAGGAGGTAAAATGTTGACATCGAGGAGAAAAAAGCCCGGACATCTGATCTGATGCAGATTCCGAGACGGGCGATCACGCTCTCGCTTGGCACCAACCTCTGGCTGCCAACTACCATCAAGCACCGCTTGATACGCATTGCCGGACCCTCTCATCTGGGTTGAAAAGCTTCAAGGTTGTTGGCCACGCATTGCCAGGCTGGTCTGAGCCCGAAAAAATAGACACCGGTCTGATGTCAAGATGGGGTGGCAGGTTTGGCAGCGGCTCTGTCGGGGGCACGGCGGGGGACGCGTTTGAAAATTGTCGGATACTCGACTCGCTCGTCTCAGCGTGGAGAGTGACACCGGACGAGCCGATGTTTTTGCTGTGAGGGGGAAGTAGAGTTAGAGTTTTGGGGGAGGGGTTGGGGAGGCCCCACCACAGGCATTGCCATGGCCAAAGCTAGGGGGGTAATTAAGGTTAGAGGATGGGATCGGATGATGGATGTGTAAAGTTCCGTGGATGTGACGAATTGACGGGATAGTATAAGGAGTGGTGTGGCCGTTGATGCAGGTTCCCTTTCTTCTTTCTTCTCTATCCACGGTTGTTCATTCAGCAGTGTCTTCCACTACCTCGTCTCCTCATCTTCACTTCAACACTCCTTCAGCTGGTCTGTCGCTTTTACATCTATTCTTTTAGTATCTTTTAATTTTATCGTCATCTTCGATACTCACAACTCCTTCGCTATGCGTTACTCAATCACCATCTTGGCCTTGGCCGCCAGCGTCTTTGCTGCTCCAGTGTAAGCTTCATGGGAGGGGAGATCAAGAGGCCTATCTGACAGTGTATCTAGTGAAAAGAGACAAAGCAACTCCACCGATGCGTCATCCCAGGATATCAACAACCAGAACTTGAACGGGCAAGACTTGAACAATGGTCAAAACCTGGACTCGAACAACCAGTTCAACGTGAACGGTCTGGACTTTTCCAAACTGAACGCCAACTCGCTCGATCTCAACAGCTTCAACGTCCAAGATATCCTCAACGCCCTGAGCTTCCAGATCCTCGAGCAAGAACTCCTCGGCAGCAATAACGGCGTAAACAGCTTGAGTTCGTTCAATCTTGGCAATGTGAACAACCTCCAATTCAACAACTTCGACCTGAACGGATTCAACAGCCTCTTCGGCTCGAATTTCAACGTTGAGAGCATCTTCCAGATTCTTGAGGGTCTCAGCCAAAGCAACATCTTTAACCAGAACAACCTCCTCCTGAACAACAACCAATTCGACTTGAATGGATTCGCGAACTCCTTCAATAATCAATTCTCGTCCAACTGGCAATCCAATGAGATCCTCGCCCTCATCGAATCCATCTCAGGCCAACAGAACCTCCAGCAACTCCTAGACCTCGCCCAGCTAAGCCAGTCCAACGGTCGCAACAACGCCAATAGCTTCGGCGGCAACAGCATCGCGGTCGCTCAAATCGAGGGCATCTCCATCTAAATTGCTTGTTCTGTCATGAGTTCACAGGCTTTTGGTTGGAAGGGTTAGAACGGCGGATGCAAAAGACGAACTGGATCTGTCTGGGTTGGTTTTTGCATGGGTTTCTCAGAAGGTGGTTGACATGTGATGTAAAGCAGGGATGAAGCTAAAGGGGGCATGTGGAGGGTGGTAGTGGAGATAATTTCTATTTGTCAATAATGAAATCCAACATCGTTTTTACACTATCTTGGTTCTTCAACTCTGCGAATATCTCATTCTTCTCAAAACCCCTTGCCGTCTGGTTCCTGAAGTCAAACTCGAGGCGGAAATTTTTCGGGATGGACTAGCGTCGGAGTAAAGCATTAAGCCAAGGTGGAAAGAAAAACACCCGAAGATTTTGACGTGTGGGTTAAGCATTGCGGGGCTGGGACTAGTATGGTAGGGCGAGGGATCTGAAACCGGGAAGATGGAGAATGACAAATTGATAGGATTTGCAGGCTGAGGTTGAAATGAAACACCCCGCATATACTTCTGATTGGGCGTTGCATCTAACGTTTGCAATTGGCTGGCCTTATATAAACCTCTGTGCGAATGTGAAAAATGATTCATGCCATTGATTTCTATTTTCGAGAGAAGTTTGTGTGACTCGAAAACTCTCATGGTAGATCAGTGTGGGCAAAAACTACTCAAGCTACTCAAGCTACTCTAGAGTAGTCTTGAGTAGAGTAGAGTAGAGTACTACTCTAGAGTAACTCAAGAGTAGTCACGTGAAAGTTATATAAAAGTAATAAATAAATAAGGTACCTATTAAGCAGTATTATATAATTTACGCTAGTGCTTATATAAGGCTACTTAAATACTACTTTTCTTCTCAAAAAAACAGCTTTCCCTTCTCGGAATCTTTCTTTTTCTTCTTTTTTCTTCTCTTTTTCTTATAATTCGTCTTTATATTACCCCTAGCTTTTTAAGCAAGATATTATCTTAATTATACTCTTATTAAGTCTATTTTGTGATTTAGATATAATAAGAGTACCTTGAGAGAAGAGTTTGCCCTTAATAGCCAAGGAAGCCTAAGAATATATTAAGCTAGTAGAGGTTCTACCTTGCTTACCAAGCCTCGCTACTACTTGATTGGGCAGTACGAAGGCGACGGGCGTTGAAAATGGTCCATCTGCCCAGTGCGCCCTGGAACACCAAAATCGCCCTGTACGGAAAGTCACACCAATCCCCACGGCAACGCTTGAATCTTTTGATTAGAGTCTTATATAATAGGAAAATAGTATGTCAATCTCTTCCGAGATTTCCATAATAATTAAATTTGGGGAGACATTACGAGACATTTACAACTGTGCAGCCCCTAGGGTGTCCCAAATCCTCGCTTAGCGAGATGGACCATTTTCAACGCCCCCGCCTTCGTACAGTGGCGCTAGACTCGGGCCACCCCGGAGCCTTACCCAATTAAGCTAGTGCATCACGTGTAACATCACGTGTGGTATCACGTGCATACTACCCAACTACTCTAGAATATTCTAGAGTAGTTGAGTAGAGTATTGAGTAGAGTATGAGTAGTGAGAAATTCATTTGAGTAGAATATGAGTAGCACCCACTACTCTACTCTACTCTACTCATTTCTCACACTGTGGTAGATTCGCCGCCCCGGCCCCTTCATTGATCGAAGATATTGGGTAGGCAGAGGCAATTAGACAATCTTCGAAAATCGTTGATGGGAGTCTATCGTTATGGGTGACATGTAAAAAAGCAAGCAACGTCTGTCAACGAGCACTTTCTTCTTTTTCGATCAGAACACTTCAAACAATCGACTTTCACGACTGTCTTAAATCTTAGACTTAAACTAAATTAATCTTTTAATTTACTTTGATTCAATCCATTCAAATCATTTTCAAATCAGATGGACCGTTTTGTATTGATCTCTTGAAGTGTTCCGCCGGCTCCAAAATTGCAACTTCGCCAAACTAGTCGGAAGTCATTTTGTTATATAATTTCATCGAAAATCAGTTGTTATTGAATCTCGAATGGGAAATGGCTTTTATTAGGTCTTTCTAAAAGGATACTCACTCCTTATAATCTCTCCCCAACTTTCCTGGCTGCCCCGCTCTCCCCTTTCGCACTCGCTTAATTTCCCAAGCTACTGTGTAGCTTCTCTTTACTTAGGCTGGTATCAACATCGATCTGGAAATACGAAGCAGGAAATTTGAGAACTGAGACCTTAGGCATTCCTAATCAGTATGTGGCCGCAGCCGCTCTCAAATTCCAGTAAAAGCCGCAGCCTCGTTTGACCACGTGCAGCTAACACGACGCAATCTGGAAGCATTCATCTATTCCACATCTGTTCAAGTTCAACACCACATCCCTCTCAGCCACCAAGTACCTCAAACACCTGTAGTCAGCTCCGTCTAACATACGCTTTTTGCCGTCTCTCTCAAAGCGCATCCTATTCGGTCTCAACCTACCATGACAAACACCTTCAACTACTCAGCCTTGCCTGACGACTCCGTCCGACTTCTCAAAATTTCATCAAATGCTGCTGGTGATATATTCTGCGAAGTGAGCAATGTTATTTTCGCACAAGCCCCGCGTTTCTATGCCCTATCGTATACCTGGGGCACTGATGAGGCCACCGAATCCATATTATGCAACGGACTCGCTATGCAGATCAAAGCTAATCTGCACGATGCTATTCGCACACTATTCAATCCACCTATGAGTCTCGACCTCCCTATTTGGATCGATGCGGTCTGTATCAACCAACACGATGACGAGGAGAAAGCCGTCCAAGTGAGCCGGATGGGGGATATCTATCGGAAAGCATACCAGGTTGTGGCTTGGCTTGGTCCATCGGGACAGGATAGTGATCTCGCTATGGATTGGTTTGAACGGCTGAGCGTAGCTTTGCCACGAATCCAATTTCCACCTTGGCCTCCCGAGTTTGGAAAATATGGGCTTCCTGAAGCAGACGGTACAGTATGGCCAGCCATTGGCTACCTCTTTCGCCGGCCATGGTTTGGGCGTCTCTGGACCTTTCAGGAGGCCGTGCTGGCATCGGATCTTCTAATGATCTGCGGTCGCAAAACAATCAGCAGCGAGATCTTCATTGTAGTGGCGAAAGAACTGAGGCGACTTGACATGGAACACCGGTGTTCTAAATACCAGACTTTGGAGGTTCATGAACACGGATTACGCGCGATGGAAATTGTGGATAGTGCCAAAAGATACCTAAAGACTAATAGACAGCTCTCGTTTCCATGTCTTTTGGTTATTGCAAGCTCAAAACTTTGCCTTGATCCGCGAGATAGAGCCTACGCCATGCTCGGCATGACTGGGAAAGGGTTCCGGGACCGGATTCAAGTCTCTTACTCGAACGACCCCAGCCAAGACTCTATCCAAACCTCCATCGATTGTGCAAAGGCATGTATTGAAGAGGGCTTCCCAACTATCCTCGACCTGGTAGCTGGCCGACAACGAGTTCCCGGTCTCCCCTCTTGGTGTCCCAATCTGAATTCATACCCACGGACCAATCAAATATCGACCAACTGGTATCGAGCAGGACTTCTAGATGAGGAAATGAATGCTGAATTATTCCGCACGAAGGCGACAGCAGCGAACAACCACTTAGTCATCAGTGGATTCCAAGCAGACACTGTTGCTGAAATCGTGACTGCGGAGTACCCTCTTCTAAGAACAGAGTTTTCGATTTTGGCTGGGGACTTTCTCACATGGGAAGCACAATGTCTGGCGCTGGCTCAGAAGATCATACCGGAGACCGTTCCCATGGGGCACATCTTCACATTAGTCGGCCATACTCGCCGGAAACTGCCACACACGAAAGATGAGGACTTCCACCAGGCTTACGTCGATCTTTTGGCAAATATGAAAAGCACTGCCCAAGGTCGAGGGGCCACTTATCCTCCAAAAGAACGACTAGAACTCTTCCATCATATGGGGTACGAAATCGGTCGAATTTGTGGAGGCCGTCGTTATTTCAGCACTGAAAAGGGATACCTCGGGGTCGGCCCTCTTGAGCTAAAGAAAGGTGACACGGTATGCGTACTCTACGGTACGAGACCGCTGTTTATTCTGCGTCAAGTTGAGGAGAAAACGGGGGAATGGTTATTGATCGGAGATGCATTCGTACTCGGTTTGATGGAGTTGAGTGAGACCCTGAAAAGTGCAAGGGGGCCGGACGAAGTTTTTACTATCGTATAGATAATAGATTAGATATTGAATTTGGAAATAATGATCAACTCTCAGGATTTTAGCCCCTTAGTGCCGAATTACTACAGCACTAGCCTATTATAGCTAGAATAGAATGTGCAGAGGAGGTAGCTGTAAGTCTAAACGGCAAAACTTTAATTCTCAAGTCCTATATTTCTTTTTGCTTTCTTTGCACATCTTCTATTGTACCTAACGCCCGTCTCGATCTCTCTGCTTATAATATGTCTTGTTTCTAGCTGAGTAACTACATATAGTAGAGGGTTAGGCCAAGACGCGAGAGCCTGGAGCTAAAAAGTAGAGAGGAGAATATGTCGAATTACTAAAAGGATGGCAAGACACTTAGTACTCGTGCTTAAGACAAAGCAGCTCGTTTGGAGATTTGAGATCGGGATCCGAATTTATTTCTAAACTGGGTATGATCCTATCGTACTGGGTTGGTGCTATACAAGCGAAATGGGGCATTGAGATTGAAAAGTGCGAAGAGATGAGAATGAGATCACGTGCTACCCTCAAATACAACCCGCCTCCTTCCAAAAGTAGTTCCACGGGAACGCGAAGCTTTGTATCGCGCATAATCGAGAAATTGCGGGCAGAAAGAGAGGTAATGTAATGGCCACCTAGTGGTGATGAGCCTTGCAGGTAAAGATCTCCCCAGAAAGGAAATCTCATCTCTCGAAAGATTATCGAATTACGCAGAGCTCTAGTTAGGACAGGGAGACCTTTGACGGCAAGCATACTTGCCTTTGCCACCGCCCAAGCACAAAATCAGGAAGAGGTAGAAACGAAACGCAAATGCAATAGCCTTCTCAGCCGTCGATATGCAACGTAACATGAATGTGTGAAAAGTGTCATTTCACATCACGTGCGAATTCCTCATATTGAGGATCACGTGCTGAAGGCAAACTACCTCTGCTACATAAGTTAGGGACCTCTCTTAGCGCACTCTACTATTTCCTAGTAGAAGTTCAATGAAAACGAGGTTTGGATGTTCACCAAACTATAACACAGGTTGAAATATCACGCACAAAATGTTCATCTGGAAATTCAACTGTGAATCCAACACAACAAATACCTGACAACTATAAGAAGCCCATCTTCTCCGCATCTTATCTAGATAAAGAAGCTGAACCAAGCCGAAGGTAATGAAAGGGAAGATCCAGTCAGCCCTGCTTGGCATTTTTCCAGGGAAATATCACATGAAAGACTCAAGTCCGCAACGCGAGAGTGGAGCACAGAAGCACTCCGCAGTTTCCCCATCAAAGCACTTGCATTCCTGCTCCATTTTTCTCATGCAAGCTGTAGAGGAACGGGAGTTACGGGAGGTGTAACTAACGGGAAGGACTTTAACATCATTTCGTAAGAGAAGGAAAAGGATCTCGCTTACAGCTCAAAATACCTCAAGCTCAAGCAGAGCATAGACTCTACCAGGACTGTGCCGCCGCCACTCGACCGTCAAATGAATCGCGTGCCCGAGGCATGTATTGTAGCTCTTTGAACAGAAATCTCATGAAGAATGAAGAGTTGTTAACCTCGGATCGCTCGTTCGCAGGAGAAAACTCAGATCTCGCCTCCCCTCGGTCCCTATCTGAGAGATTGAGATCTCACCACATGTCCGTCCCTCCTCCCCTCCGCATCGGCCCGCAGCTCCGAGTTGCCACCGCATCAATCGAATAGTATTCGTAACTGTTGGGTCGCTTCTTACACAATGGAATGTATTGAGCGATCTAACGTCGTATCGTTGAAGGATAGCGAGGACAGAAGGCAGCGTTGAGACATTTCCACATGCCAGAGCGAAGGGGAGGTGTGGCTGGTGAGCTCAGGCCGCAGTAGTGGGGCTTTTAGTGACAGTGAACCCTGGAGCTGGGTGGGCGGACAGGGGTGATCCGCGTGGTTGTCTCGCTTGGCTTTGAATCATTGTTTTTTTTTTTTTTTTGAATGGAGGGAAGATGCTGTGTAACGAAGGAGCAAGAGGCAGAATTCGGTGAGGGGTATGTGGAGAGGGGGAAAATATATCCAGGGAGGAGGTAACGAAGGGGTTTAAGCTTGGGGTGTACTGTGCATCGTGAGAGTGAAGAGAGGGAGATAACCTCAGCATTCCAATAATCCTAATTGGCATTAGTAAGTCGGGGAATTGACCCCTTGAAGCCGCGCGATCTACAAATAGCTCCGCCGCTTCAAAGTAATAAAAAAACATTGCTACTGGTAGCAAAGAACAACAGTTCGTGGAGAGTAATAGTGTTAGATAGAATACATTAACACCTGTTTCTAAAAAGCTTGTTCTCTTCTTGAAGAAGTTACGGGCATCCGGATGAGGATATTCTGATGTGCTCCTGAGATGATGCTCGGTTCAGATGAAACCTCAGCGGGGGAGAGGGGAGGAAAGCTCCGATAAGAGTAACCTTACTGATAAGAGCTGCCCGTGCTTATGACCACGACCATTGAGCCTGGACAACGCTTCCACGAAGCTGAATGCGGAGAGGATGTATGAGTCTTTAATTGAGTCTGTGTGGGAGGAACGAAAGCAAGTGCAATGATGGCATTGATCGTGTGTAGCCCACGCTGTTGTGCTGCAAAAATAAAATTGAAGCTGATGACGAAAGGTACTTTCACATGCAAATGCACGCTTCACCCTGCCCACTGTGGCGCCTCACCACCACGTATCAGAATATCAGGCGGAATGCCATCCATCTTCGAATCAAAGCAGCCTTCCAAGCACCACGCACGTTCTTTGCTCTTCTTTCGCAGCTCAAGCCCACCTTTCCCCCTGCATGCATTCCTACCTTCTGCCTCTGATTGGCAGCTGAGGCCGTCCGCGCCATTTACCACAGGCATGTGGCTGTTGCCGGCCTCTCGTCATGCTCCAATTTCACCGTTTAAAACAGGGAAGCGAGCACATGCAAATCGATCGCGTGGGAAAGCGCAGCTGTGGCGCAACCTAATGTGGCAGAGCTCCCACGAAAGGTTAATAAACTGACTGACCTCCACCTCCGTCGACTGTCCTTCTGACCACCCTCATACACAATCCCAACTTCCTTGTACCACGCACAAAAGATCCCCTTCCAACTATTCCAACTAGTAAGCACATCCAGCATCCTATCTAGCTTGCTTTTATGCAAGGCACGGCATATCCGGATCCCTCCGGCAGCGTCGCGCGATACCAAAGAGCATGAACACAGCTAACCAAGACCTCCGCAGAAGCTCTCTATGCCACACTCCGAAGAATCAACTCCGACAAAGATGGCACCCCAAGTAAACGGCGAAACGCCATCCTCTGCATTCCTCAGCGTACGTCCTTCCCTCCCACTACCCCTCCATCAACCCCTATCAAAACACATCAGACCACCCACTAACACAGACAACAACAGCACCTCTTCTCCTATCCCGTAATCTCTGATAGCTTCAGCACCTTCAAATCCAACCCCATCGGCGCCAAATCCCTCGACTTCACAACCGCCTCATACAACAAAGTGACCGAGCTCAGCAAGCCCCTGCACCCGTTCTTCACAAAACCATACCAATACGTCTCTCCCTACGTCAAGAAAGCCGACTCAATCGGCGACTCTACCCTCTCTACCATCGACACCAAGTTCCCTGTTGTCAAGAAACCCACGGGAGAGTTATACGATGAGGGCAAAGCAATTGTGTTCTTCCCGCTGAAGAAGGGGAATGAGGGGAAGGAATATGTATTTGGTATCTTTGGCAGTGAGAAGAAGAAGGTTGGTGGAGAGGGTCTGGTTACTGTTGCGAAGGCAACGGTCGCGACAGGTCTTGTGGTTAGCAGTGATGCGTTGAGTTGGTTGGGCGCGTTCCTTAGCAAGAAGAAGGAGCACGCGAAGGAGGTTGCGAATGAGAAGATGGGTAGCTAAGGTGGCCTGTTACCAGAATCTGGGTTGATGGGAAATATTCTGCGGTGGACGACGGTTGGACGACAAGATACCCCCCTCCTTTTCTCAAGATACTTTCGATGGATGGATCAGCGACGTCATACAATTGATGGGTACGATATCACACGGCCAGGTACTCGGGGGTGAAAAGGCTTTTCGTGGTCCTTTCTTTGGACAAAGACTCCTTTTTGATTTGAGCGATTTCCTTCATTTTGCAGCTTCGACACTGTCCTTCTCTGCATTGCATTGCATTGCGATTTTGAAAGCAGAAGGCTTTGTCGTTGTATGATTTGGATTAGTGCGATTGAGTAGCAAGAAATTAATCATAGACTTCCTTTTGCGGCCCTAGCCTCCCTCGTTCTCACGTGATTGCTCTCGTGCTCCCATCCAGGGCAGCATCGCATTGTCGTGGTTTCTTCCTCATCTGCAAGTGCTATCCAAGAGCTCCTGTTGTCTTCCTATCACCCACATTGTAGTCTCAATACTCCGTTGGAGTTCGGAGTTGGTCTTTGACGCAAATATCATCTCCACTAGGGCGACCATGAGTTTCTCCTATCAGGATTTCTGGCCTCGTCTCGAAAGAAAGTAGCCTTGCGTCTTACTTTTGTGGATTGTAGGTATCGAAGGAAAGGATCGGAAATTGTAGAACTTGCTTCAAATGTGACGACAATTATTCACGTGGTCAGCTGCTCGCTTCGTCCTTCCTATATCCCTTCCTTCTTTGACGCAATGTTCATTTCCCTACCTTGCGCTTAAGGTTCCCTACTACTTCTTCCCTCGTCCACACCATCCACGTCATCCACGTGAATTCCGGTTTTAGAGCTAACCATCCGTTGAGTTGTACCGCAGTCGACCGAAAACCTTGCAGTGTTGCATCAGCCCTTCTTCAAAAGTCTATCTTGGACGCACGCGATTGCCTTCAAACCCTACGACTAGGTATTAGCCTTACAGGGAAGATTCCAGCTTCTTGTCACGATGAATCAACAGAACTCTGAGGCTATCGCCGCTCGAAAGAAAGTTTCTGAGAACGCTTCTAATGCTGCTCATAGAGTCTACGGGGTCGACAATGAACTCGACCCACCGTGGACATCCTGATTGACTGCAGAACTTCGATCAGAACCAAAGCGTTGAGGGCTTGCACACAGCGGCGTAAAGGCTGAGTCGGTCAAATGCATCAAGAAGTATGTAAGGTTTCCTCTCCTTCTAAGTTACAATTTCATTCCACGATAGACGGGAGCGATGGAGCTGTTCCGGGAGCAAACAAAAAATATTTAGCCTTGTATCTGTGAAGCAAGACAACTTCGACGCTCTTAGCTCCCTTGATGTGTCTTGGATTTTGAAGTGCTAATTCTCTGGGCAGAACAAATGGATCGTCAGTCCCGCGGGAAAAGCTGGACCTCCGCCAAAAGCAAGCCGTTACAGATGTTGTCCCATTCCACCGCTTTCCAAAAGCACCTCCGGAGATACGTCTCGTGATTTCGGAGTTCTCTCTGCCCGGTTCCCATACTCTCAGCGTTGCCGGTCGTCGCAAGCCTTCGGGTCTCTTTTTTTGTGAAAACGACAATCCATACAACCCTGCCGCCCTTTCCATCTGTCGAGAATCTCGAGAGGTCGTACTCAAGCATTATCGCCTGTGCTTTGGTACAACTAACATATATGCCGATCTTTCTCTCGATGCCTTTTACTTTGGTGAGGACTGGTGGGTCCAGATTTCCGGCTCCGGCACATCTGGTGACGGAAATTTGTTGAAGTGGCGTGTATGGAGCGGTCCTCAAAACAGACTCCTCAACCAGGAATTCAAAGATAATGTGAAGGCGAATTTACAACAAACTACGCATCTTGCGTTCATTCCCAACTACTGGTCTCGCTTTGGCATTCTCCACCGCTCTGGTGCAGCCCTACGAGCCGACGCAAAAGCCGTGTTTCAAAAGCTGACGCAGCTTTCACTTGTTACTGGACAAGAACATGATTCTTATGGCGCTCCCGGCTCTGTTGAATTTATGAATGACATGACTCAGAGTTGGGGGAATGAATTCCAACAGTAATTCCTTAGGTTGGCTTTGAATGACGAAAGAAAAATGAATTGGGTAGCGCACTCGCATTCCCAGGTTTTGTTGCACAGCACGCTGCGAGGACACCCTGAAATGAAATTTTCCAATGTTCCAACTGCATCCATGACATTCTGTTATTTGAGTTGCTCTCGAGATATGGTGAGACGAAACGTTGGTAATATCCTTCCCTCATCTAGGTTCTTGACATACAGGTTGTCGCCTGCATCCAGCCTCCCTCACATTCCTTGAGACGACTGGAGACGTGACTATGGCGAGCCTTTTGTAAGTATCCCTAGTCTATCAGGTCCATAACTTCATGTATTAACACTCAATACAGCAACCTCCCGAATTGACACAGCCTCCCAAGTGTCAATCTGCAAGATTACATACCAAACCACAAGCCAACGTTATTCCGAAAGCTTATGTTTCTCAGCCATGTCCATGCCATGCTTGTACGCGCTTGGCAACTTAGTCTTGTTAGGGCTTCAGAATTGTTCACGGCTAGTTAAGGGGAAGGTCAGTTAGACTTCCGCATGGTTCCAGCTCAGAATGGTACAATCTTCTATTTTATACGAGGCCGACATCCCACAATCTTCACTTACACTGTGCCACCGCGGAGCAGTCCTCCCATCATCGCTTCCATCTCATTTTACCTTTGCCCTCTCTAATTCTATCTCCACCACCCAAGGCGTCCTCTCCAACACCTCATCCCCCATAAGTGCAGCATTAACAAACAGAGTCTCTTTCCCTTTCCTAATCCCTTTCGCCTCAACGAGCCTCACCCCTCCCTCCGCAATTCTTCCATCAACCTTCTTCACCTCCTCAATCCCATCATCAATATCATCATCCCTTGGTAAACACTCCTCCCCCTCCTCTTTCCACCTTACCCTGTCAACCCCATTCCCGGCATGCACATGTCCAAAAGCATGCACTCTCGGTCTACACCTCCTAACCGCCCTCCAAATATTTTTACACCCAACATTCTCCCCCTCTTCCGTCCTATCCAACCTATATCTCGGCGGTCCATGACTAATTAGGACATCAACTCTTCCTCTCTTGTCATCTAGAATTAGCGTTTGTGGAGTTCCAGATGGAGTACTGTACCAGATCCCGCTTCCAGGTGGGTTATAGATGTCGTGAGAGGAGGGATGGCCGAATGCGCATTCTGAAGTGGAGACGGTGGGTGGGCAGGGCGTGTAGGGCGTTGTGTAGATGCGGAGGTTAGCGCCATTTGAGAGGGTGAAGGTCTGAAATCCCGGATCAAGGAGGATAATTCCTGCTTCCCTTACTGAGGGGCTGGTCCAGAGTTCGAGGGCTTGGGCATACAAATCTTCCCTCTCGGTCGTGGTGAAGGTGGGAGAGGAGTGAGTCGGGAAAGCGGGATCAAGAGACAGATCATGATTCCCCGGAATCACAAGCTTGATAGATGCAGGTATTGCTTTCAGCAAGTCCAAGGTTCGTTTGTAGTCTTCTATCTCTCCGCATTGTGATAGATCACCGCAGTGGATGACGGCGTCAAGGTGTAAGTTTTCTGGTAATTGGGACGGGAGGGCAGAGTGGCCGTGGGTGTCAGAGAGAATGAGGATACTTGTTTTAATTGTTTTCTTTTCTGGAGACTGGGGGTTGTGAGGTATGGTGGGTTCATTTGCTGGTGAAGGAGAGCGCTTTCGCTTTCGTGAGGAGAAGAGGAGACCTTGGCGTTGTAAGCGGGGAGGTTTCTTGACTTCAGACATAATAAGTAAGGTGGACTCGGAGTCTGCAAATCTGTGAGATATCAGGTCAGCGAAATATAAAGTAGGATTTCAGAGAATTGTTGTCAGTCCAGACCAAAATAGGAAAGAGCGGGCGCGCTAAAGAAGGTTTAGTCTATCCGAACCTATAATGAACATGATTTTTAAAGGTCGTCCAAATCTAGCTCCAAGGTTATCCTTAAACTCTGCGCGACTTCCTTCAAGTAGTTTTTGGCTCGCCCGAATAGAAATAATCCCCCCCTATCGGCTCGCTTAACTCGAAGTAAACACCTCGGCAAACGTTAAGCGAGAGGAAAGATGTCCTAAAAAGGCTACAGAAGTATAGAAGCCAAGCTGAGACACGAAAGCCGTAAATATAAGAACCAATTAAGCGTCAGATAAATTCGATAATAGATAAAACTTAGAAAGATGGGAAATCCAAAAAAGAAATCGTCGAAATGAGGAGCGAAAAGTCAGGCCCAAGGATCCATCGTTTCTTAACTGGTTAGAATTGGCTTCAAATTGGAACTGGCTTTTCATTTTAAGCTATGCAGGCAGAGATAACCAATAATTAGATTAATTAATTGTACAAGAACCACAAGGGAGTTTCAACATCGATCAGATGTTCAGCCTCGACGGCACTCTAGGGGTTTAGGGCCGCACGAACTGCCTTTAACCCGAGCAAGAAGAACGCAAGTGCCGCTAGTAAATCACATACTGTGAATAATCAACTGGCCTAATGTAAAAATAGACGAAGTCCAACTACTATGCTTAACACTACCCGAACTCTCACCAGAAAAGAATGTAAACCAATCGCAAGCTTCAATGCTTCCAAAAGCGCTTGCTAACTCCAATGCACATGCTGAAAATCAATAAGCAAGCCATCAGACAGATAGAAGTCCTAGTATAGGGTGCTAACAGCATTTAGTCCCACATTCCCGAGCATCGTTTTCCCGTCCATGCTGCAAACATTATTATACCCGAACCAAGCAGCCTGGTTGTCCTTCGCCACCGCCATGACCGCAAAGTCGCCACCTTCATTATACCTCCAGCTAATGGACTAAGGTGGAAGTGGCGCGGATTTTGAATCAGGCAGGTTGCCGCATCGCATATGCACCAAGAGGAAGTCGATTGCGCGCAGTCGAGGTAGCGTACTGTTTCACACCCTGGCTCTGGGATGGTGAATTGAAAGGTAAAAGTCACGGTTGTTGCGGCCTGGATTTTGTTAACTGGTGGATGGTGGTGAGGTAGAAAGAGAGACTAACTTTCTGAGAGGAAATCTACTACGCTCCAGGCTGTGCCGCCGCGGGAGACGATGGTAGTGGGAGCTGCGAGGGCGGCGGAGAGGAGGGTGGCAAATACCATTGCGGTGGTAGAGAACTTCATGTTGGAAATGAGCTCCAAGTTCCTATGGAAGTTCTCCTCGTGGAATCTCGGATCCATCTTCTGGAACACCCTCAGGTCGTTGAAAGACTTGATCTGCCCTGTCAAGAATCCTTTTCCAAGTGGGCTGTAGACGACAATTGGGATCTCGGGCTCAGCGCATGTTGCCGCAACATTGTTTTCCTGAATATCGGGGCTGAAAAGAGAGAATTCGACTTCGACAGCAGCGATCAGATGGACGGAGGCGGCACGGCGAATTGTGGTAACTGAAACTTCGGAAAGACCAATCCCCCTTATCTTCCCAGCCCTAACGAACTCAGCAAGATATCCAACAGTCTCTTCGATCGGGATTTTTTGGAACCACCCGGCCACGCTCGAAGATATCAATCCGTTTTGTGCCATCTATGATCCTAAGGTACTACTCGATGCTCCGAGTAAGGCTTGCCTTGTCTCCTGTTGGGGTGAAGGTGCCGGGCATAGAACCTCCCTTGAGGCTCAGCATAGTCTTATCCGAATCTTCGGTATATACAGTGTAATAGTCATGCAAGAGGTGCAATGAGTTTCTCATTTGGGGGCCCGTAGAATTCGCTTCCATTCCAGAAATTGGACCCGGACTCGAGGGCAGCCTTCATGGCTTTTGAAACCTTATTCGTATGGGGTAGGACTGGGGCGGCAGGTGAAGTCTACAGTGAGTTAGGATCTCAAGTCGTTCTTAGAAAGAGATGGGGAATTTGCTATCCATGAGGCCGAAACCAATTGGCCCGATTTGTTTCCCCACGAGAGTTACTATTTTGGGAAACTCCTGCTTAAAATTTTGAATTTGGTAGAAGGGTCAAGAATGTAGCAAAGAGTATTTTGAGTTCCAAAAACAGGAACTTTCAATTAAATACAGGACAATTCTTTGTAATGGATCAGACTTGCAACTGCAAACTCAAATATCGGAGTACTGGTGGATTTAAGAACGGAGTTATTACTGCATCTTTATCAGAAATGGTCAATTTTTAACGAGGGGGCCGAAATGGCCTCTTTTCGCCCAGCTAGGGGGTGAAATCCAGGGAACTGGGAAGTTTAAAAATAGGCTATATAAATGGCGGCTATTCTATCGCCAGCGAAGGAGTCATTTCCTTCGCCCAAAATCCGATGTACGAAAACTCTGCCTGTGAATGCTGGTTGAATTTCCTAGCGTGAAGTTGAGGCGATCATTATGGTGCCGGAAATTAGTGAGAAATTATATACCCGTCTCAAAGCAAGAGAAGCTTATGCTATTCCAGTCTAGCTTCAAAGAGTAACCAAGGGCTTTGAGAATGTCGGATAGGTAGTGACGGCGGTAATAAGCTCTTCGGTAGTGATGCGTTCCTCGGCGTCGGGTTCAAAGATCGTGACAAGGATGTCATTTAATTCGTTCGATAGTGGTAGGGTAGACTTCAAGATACTGCGGTCCTCTAGATACGCTAGATAATTAGCATCCAAAGGGGAAGCCTGTTTCCATGGATTGCGGCCACATGTCAAGTTCACCAAAATGACCCCCAGGGACCAAACATCGTTCGGAGCGCATCGGTACATTTCGGAACTTTTGAAGCATTCTGAAGAGAGACAGGCAGGTCAATAGCCGTGGGAGGAATCTAGGGAGGTAACCTTACCTGGACTCATATAGAATGTGGACCCGCAACCATGGTCATCTGATTCTGAATCTGTTGTGGAAAGAGCAAAGTCGGCAAGAAAAACTTGCGTCCCATCCACAAGTATATTTTCAGGCTTGAGATCTCTGTGATATATCCCTAATTTGTGGCAATGTTGTACAGCGCTTAAGAGTTGAAGAAATGTTGCTCGGATGAGATAGTCATTTACCACAAACCGACCCATCTCGGTAATATTCGAGAAGAGATCTCCATCTGGACAATACTGTAGAACAATATAGGTGCATTCCGGATCGTCTATAATCCTTAACAGAGAAACTATGTTGGGGTGCGCTGAGGCGGCGTAGTGAAGTTGAATCTCCCGACTTTGGAATTCTCGTTGCCTCCTGTCCAATGGCGCTCCATTTATGCGTTTTTTGCTGAGTGCTTTGAGAGCATACCAAGTCTGATGAGAATGGTCCATCGCCGAGTAAACGATTCCGTATGCTCCCGTTCCCAGAATTCCCTTTATTTCCAAAGAACGCATAAGGTACTTCCCGACCCGAGACTCTGGTGTTGGATGGAGTCCGAGAGGCTCGTCTGGCAGAATCTGCAGATCTGTTAATAAAAGATTTGGTATAAGGATACTGATCCTTTCCTCAATTACCGTAGCTGGAGCTGTACCGTTGTCATTTTTCTCCAGCGGCTTTTCGTCTAATAACTCGCTTGACTTTGTCTGGATGTGAATTGACTTAAACGCCTCAAGCTCCTCTTCGACGGAAATCTTAAGTTTTAGTGGCATTGGGAAGTCAAGGCCATCAAGCTTTATCTCCGTTTGGGGACGATATCCTTCACTGCAGGACATATCTTGTCCTCCAGCTGGAGGAGAATTACCTTCATGATCGACAGCTTCTTCCACACCGGTTTCCCGTTGCAAAGATATATCAAGGCAGCGATACTCGAGATTACATTTGGAGCTGAAGTGCGTCAGGATTGCCACAGATTGCAATTCGAGGTACTGACCGGATGATAAAGCTAGACTCGATTGAGCGGTGAGCATTTCGTGCGCCACATGTAACCCTTGGACATGACCCTTTATTAAATAGCATGCCGAGAATAATCATTGACATGCTGATACCCGTACCAGGGAAAACAGACCTCTCCCATCTGCTTCGATCAATGACAAGGTCTTTTCGCTTTGTGTCGAGCAGATGATATCGTCCCTGTTCCACTAACTTCTCCCCCGGTAGTTGCTTAAACCGGCATCTAAGCATCGCCTCAAAGATATCCCAGTGACGGAAATATTGGTAAGGAAGTGGTTCCGTTCTCCCCAGAGCATCGGTAAATTGTATAGAATCCTGATTTCCGAACACAAGGGCCCGTAGTATCGTGCAATGCATCTCTCGTAACAAGGCATAAGTCTCCAGATCAGTCCTTAGGACGAATCTCAGGAGCTTCAGCACAGCCACCGAGAACCCTCCAAATACAACCAAAAGCTGCTGAATAATCTTTTCCAGTCTTTTGATTGCCTCAGAGTTTGATACCGTGATAACATGCCCGCATTTATGCATTTTTTCCAACTTATTGAACCGCCGTTGTACTTCGGTATGTTGCGCTCTATTGAGATTTTGAAAATGCTCCACACCAACCTTACTGCCTGTGAAAATTCGAACAAGCGTGCTAATACTTCTTTCCGTGTCAGTTTGCTCCAGACTTATTTTCCCCATTTCTCCGGATAGCTGCTGGATATCCTCCCTACAGCCTTGCATTTGGGTTTGGAGAGGTGTCGATGTTTCCGCCAGAGGTCGCGCTTCGGAGCTAAGTTTGGATACCGTTGAACTAAATTTGCCAGCTTAGCAAGTTCTGTCACTGATAATAAATAATGGAACTTACAGTGTATGAAGCTGGATGAGAAGGTTGATCGAAACCATTTTCGCAATGATAACCGTCCTAAACTTCTCCACCTCCTCCTTCATACCAATGGCCCATTGTACCTTCCTTGCCTCACTCCCCAATCTAGCCTTAAAACCTTTAATACTCGTTCCCTGCAAAGATTTATATTCCTCCATCTTATCCAGGAATTCTTGCAAAGGTGTTTTGCAAGTTAAGGCCATGCCTTTGATTGCATTGAGGTGGCCCGCATCACCGCCATGGTCCCACACACCATGGTTCAGCTGCTCTAGAAGGATGACCAAGTGTTGTAAATCAATTAAAACATGTTGAAATTCGTCCTTCGCACCCCCTGTATCCCGTAAGGCTCGACAAATATCCTTCACGATCTTGATAGCGGATACGAAATCGCCAAACGAGAATCCGAAGTCTGGAGCAGCCATCTCGCCGCTAAGGATAAACTGAGTGTTGATTAGGAAGCATAAATGCGTTGATTCAGGAGACTGTATGAGTTGGTAGTCGAGCACAACTTTTTTTTTCTTCGTCCTAAGGCCGGTTAGTAAGCTCGCCGCTTCTACTCAGGCGCTAATTACCCTTGGCTCACCCTCTCCTCATCTAGCTCACCTGAGCAGCCTGAGTAACCTGAGTAGTCCCTGAGCAGCCCCTGAGCAGTACCTACTTCTCACTTACGTATTTAATCTCTAATCAGGCTAGATATAAACTAGGGCCTTTTGTTTTCATTTTTATTAAGTTTTGGCAATAATCCCTAGGAAGCCTAAATAGGCTCCCAAGAATCTCGAACTAGATTCTTATAAAAATAGATTTATATTATATTATAAGTAATTACCTATAGTAGTAGAATATAAAGGTCTTATTTAAGAAGAGAGATTTATTACTAGTTCCTATAAATTCTCTTCCTGTCTCTATTTATAACCTGAATTCCTTTTTCCTAACTTAATTACTAGACTATTTCTAATCTTATTTTTTTTTAGATAATATTATATATTTTATATTACTTTATTCTTTTTTATTTCTTTACTTTACTTTTACTATTATATAACTCTTTATAATACTAAAGTATAAATTATCTAAAGATTTCTTTAAGAAAGCCTATAAGAATAGCTTTAAGAAAAATAAAAATATTCTTATTACTAGAAAAGAAATCAAGAAAATACTCTAATTATATATTTTAAAGAAATACTATTATATACTAGTAATATAGAACTAGTAAGTTCCTATAATCTAAAATAAGATATTTCTAATACTTAGTTCTTTATTTAATAGATATAAACTTAACTAGTTTAAGCTTAAATATCTTATTATTACTTTATATAATATAAAAATACTATAAGATTTTACTATAGATATAATATATAGTATTAAAGGAGTTTTTAGTAATTCTATAATATATATAAGTATAATTATTATATATTTAAAGAATTTTTCTAGTAGTTTAAAAGATAGTAATTTACTAGAACTTAGTAAATAATTAATTATAAATACTAGAAATATATATAATTTCTTTTTCCCGGAAATACGGATTCTAATTACTAATATAGTTTAGTTTATATAAGGCCCTTTACTAGAAATGCTTAAAATAGTATATTAAAAGCAGAAGAAAAGATATAATATAATAATTTATTTTAAATACCTTAGAACTTAATTCTAGTAATATAATTAGAATATATATTTAAAGTCAGGAATTAGAATAGATCTTTAGAATAAGATCTAGGCAAATATTTTCTTATTATTAAAAATAAGAAAGTATATAGAATTTACTTACTAACCTAGTTCTAGTTAAGGCCTTTACTATTAAGTAAGTTTCTTAGTACTTAAGTAATAACTAGATATTATAACTAATAGTTTTTATTAGGATATTAAGTTTAAATTATTTCGAAATAAGAATAGAAACCTAGAGTTTATTATATAGCTTATATAAGATATAAAGAATATAACTAATACCCTATATAAAAGATTTACTTTTTTAAAAGATATTAAGACTAATTAAGGGCTAATAATTTAATAGATTATAATATTTCTTATATAAGAAATTAATACTTATATTACTATTTTGAAATCTAATTCTTATATATCTTACTATTTTTATTTTAAAGAATACTTTTAGAATATATAAGATAATAGAAGTATTTCTTAATCTTAAGCTATTATTAGATAATAAGATATATTAATTAGAATAGAATCTAAATATTCTTAATATATCTTTTTTTTAGAGAAGTATTAAAGAGATTAATATAGCCGGTATATATAATAAATATTTAAGAGATTTAGGCTTTTGTTTTTCCTATATTATATTACTTATAATCTATAATTTTAGAATAAAAAGCTTCTAGCTTATTAGTATATTTATTTATACTAATTTGAAATATTTAGCTTCTAACTAATATATATAAATAAGTTATATTTATTAACTTAAAGAATAAAGTATAGGAATTATATAAACGAAAATATTTATTATTATACTTTAAATAATACCGGAATTAATAGTTAAAGTACCTATTTTAGTACTCTAATATATAGCTTTCCTAGTAATCTATTTCGGGACTTGACTATATTTCATAATCCGGAACTATAGTAGTTTCTTTCTACTAAAAAGCAGGACGAGCTCGAGAATAGCCCGGAATTTAAAGCTATTAAAAACGAGTTAGAAAACCTTTTTTTATTCTCTAGAAATAATTTAGTAATAAAGAATTAGTAAAAGAAATTATAAGTATAGAAAAGGAAGCTTATTATAGAAAAGCTCTATAAATACCAGAAATACTAATTAAAAGAGCTTCTTTCCAAGAATAGCAAGTCTAACTTAACTAAATACTACCGGATTTTATTTTCCTATACCTGTATTCTAATACTAGAATATAATTATTTAGTAAATAATATATTTATTATTATTTCTATTTATAGTAATATAGGACAAGTAGTTCTCTATAATCTAATTACTTTTTATTAATAAGATATTAAAGTAGTATATTACCCTAACTTAAAGCCTAAAAAATACTTTTATCTAATAATAGATTAGAAATATAAGATATATAAATTAGTATTATAGCTTTCTTTATTCTTTTTCTTATTATATATCTAGCTAATATAAGTTCTATTAATAGTAAACCGGCTTTATAAAAATAGTAGTATATATATAGCTATTATAAGAAATAGTTTTACTAAATTATACTTCTTTTATAATAAATAAATTATAGGAAATCAGGCATAGAAAAACTATTACTAGGCTTACTTAAATAGTTATAAACCTTTTCTAGTATAATATAACCCGTTTACTTATAATAGGGCACTTGCCTTAGTTAGTATATATTTCTTTTATTAAGGTAATATAATATTACTAGTAATAAAATAAATATAACTATTTTCTAATCTTATTTTATAAAGAAAGTATTTATTTAATTATTTTATAACCTTTAAAAAATAAAGCCTAGATAATTCTAAATTACTTAGATATCCAGATATTTTCTTATTATAATATAAAAATACTTTTAAATCTATTTAAGAAATTAAATTCTATTTTTACAATATTTATTATAGTAAGTTTATTAAGATATTAAAAAGATCTAAGCTAGTAAATAATATAGGTACTAGATCCTGTAATTATAAGATAAATAGAACTATTTTTAAATAAGACCTAGATATTAGTATTAGAGAATATATAATATATATTTATGAATTTATTAATTAGATAGCGAAATATAGTAACTAAAAAAGATATAGAATATTAATATCCTTAATCTATTATTCGAAGTCTATATTAATAGTACTTTTAATTACTTTATTAACTTCTTTATTAGTAAACTTGGGAAGTTTAATACTACTAACTAAATAGGCTAAAGACGAGTTCGAGAGTAAAACCTATATACCGGTTTAGCTATTATATTTCAATATATTTGAAAATATTAACTCGAGCCTGTTTTTTTAATTAGTTATTTTATTTATTAAAGATAATATAATTATCTTATTATTATATTAAAGCTTTACTACTAGCCCTAGTAAATTAAGTTCTTATAAGATATATATTATAGTATTAGACTATAATATAATTGAGATAAAGAACCTTATAAACCTTTATTAAAAAAAACCCCAAGCCTTAGAACCTAGAGATTTTCCTATAGATTTTACTATAGCTTCTAGTATATATTAATAATACTAATATTTTTTTAGAGAATTAAGTCTAACTAAGATATAGGAACTTTTATTTCCCTAACTAATAATACTAATTAGTTTAATCTTTTAATTATTAAAGATATTCTTTTTATAAAAAGACTAGTAATAAACTTAACTAATATTCTAACCTATAAAAATATAGCTATTAAATAAGGTTATAATTATCTTAATAAAGATTTTATTATTACTAGTAACTTATTAAATCTAGGTAACTTAAAACTACTTATTTAATTTATATATAATTTGCTTATTATAGACTAGATCTAAGAAATACTCTTAATAATAAGAAGCTACTTAATTCTCGGGTTAGTAGGATTAATAATAAACTTAGTAATAACTTTATAAGAAATATATCTATTTCTTATTAAAATCCAGAATATTTTTTATTTAATAAATAAGATATTTAGTAAATAAGATATTTAGTAAATAAGATATTTAGTAAATAAGATATTTAGTAAATAAGATATTTAGTAAATAAGATATTTAGTAAATAAGATATTTAGTAAATAAGATATTTAGTAAATAAGATATTTAGTAAATAAGATATTTAGTAAATAAGATATTTAGTAATAAGATATTTAGTAAATAAAGATATTTAGTAAATAAGATATTTAGTAAATAAGATATTTAGTAAATAAGATATTTAGTAAATAAGATATTTAGTAAATAAGATATTTAGTAAATAAGATATTTAGTAAATAAGATATTTAGTAAATAAGATATTTAAATATCTAAGATATTTATTATAGTTCTTAAGTATAATAAGTTTATAATTAAGTGAGTTATAAATAATTAAGTTATCCTAATTAGATAGGGCAGATATAAGAAAATAATTACCTAATATTAGGTTAGATAAGCAGGATATCTAGAAGATTAAAATAGCTAGATTAATAAAGCTAATCTAAGTAATAATTATATTAAGTCCTATTTAGTAAGAAAGATCTTATCTTAAAGTTATATTATATATAAGATTATATAAAAGTACTATTTCGGTTTTATAGTATTTTATATATATATAGTTATATTTTCTGTCTTTTTTTAGATAAGCTAATTAATTCTATATTATTATACTATTATTATTTAAAAATAATTATTCTAAATCTAAAATTATTTAATTTTCTATTATTTAGACTCGGATTTCTAGGGCTTTACTTTTAAGGCTTGCTTTTAGTAAATAGGATAAAAGATATTTCCTAAGATATTACTTTATTAAAAATTATTAAATAATAAAAAAAATTCAAATATTTAAAAATAAATA